TTTTAACCACCTTCCAGTGTTCCTCCATTGGAGAGCACATGAACTGACTTACCTTATTGACACTAAAGGCAATTTCAGGTCGTGTAATTGTGGCATATTGCAATGCACCAACTACAGACCTATACAAGGTAGGATCATCAAACGAAGTTCCTGTTTTAGCAAGTTGCTGACCCCCAATCATAGGAGTGGAGATTCCCTTAGAGTCTTCCATTTTAACCCTGGTAAGAAGATCAGAAATGTATTTGTGTTGAGATAACAGTAACCGGCCATCAGAAAGAGACTTGACTTCAATACCCAAGAAGTAGTCAAGCGTGCCAAGATCTTTAAGAGAAAAGATTTCATTGAGGTGATCAATGAATTTTTGCAATAAGGAGGAAGAATTGCCAGTGAGGATAATATCATCCACATAAATGAGCATGTAGACAGTGGCAGATGGAGTAGAAAAAATAAACAAGCTAGGATCGCACTTGCTTTTGTGGAACCCAAGCTTTAGCAAAACAGAAGTTAATCTGTCAAACCAGGCACGAGGAGCCTGTTTGAGACCGTAAAGAGACTTGTGAAGTTTACAGACAAGATGTTTGCTACTAGGTTCAATGAAGCCAGGAGGCTGAGACATGTAAATGTCTTCCTCAAGCATTCCATTAAGGAATGCATTATTAATGTCAAGTTGGCGAAGTGGCCATTGAAAAGTCACAGCAAGGGAGAGCACAATCCGGATGGTGACAGGCTTAACAACAGGAGAAAAGGTTTCAGAGAAATCAACCCCAGGTTGCTGATGAAAGCCCTTGGCAACAAGTCGGGCTTTGTACTTGTTGATAGAGCCATCAGGATTCTCTTTAAGACGAAAAACTCATCTGCAGCCAATGGGTTTTCTACCAGAAGGTAATTCAACTAAAGTCCAGGTGTGATTGGCATGTAAAGCAGTGAGTTCAGCTTGCATGGCAGAAAGCCAATGAGGGTCAGTAAGAGCAGATTTGACAGTTTTGGGTTCAACATTAGACAGCAAGAGTGTAAGGTTAATTCTGGGTTGTATAATCCCATTTTTTGAGCGAGTGATCATGGGATGAGCATTACGAGGTGGGGCTGGAGGTGAATGTGAGGAGGATGAAGCAGTAGGTGAAGTAGTAGAACTGTTGACAGGCGTAGAAGAGGGAAGAAGATTGGACTCAGATGATCCAGAACTGGCGGTAATGGCAGGTGATATGAGGGTAGAGGAAGATGGATTGTGCGAACAGACAAGGGAGGGAAGTATAGAGACAGAGGTGGCAGGGATAGAAGCTTGGGTTGTTGTAACGAAGAGGTCATTATAAGGAAATCTTCCTTCATTGAAGATCACATCTTTGCTGATGTATATACGGCCAGATCTGCTTAAACATTTGTAACCCTTATGACTAGGAGAGTATCCCAAGAATACACACTCCTCGGACCTAGGTTGAATCTTGTGTTGATTGTAGGGTCTTAGTAATGGAAAACAAGAGCAACCAAAGACCTTTAGAAATGCATAGTCTGGATCCTTGTTATGAATTAGTTTGTAGGGTGATTGAAAACCAACAGAGGAGGAGGGAAGTCTGTTGATTAAGCAGGTAGCAGTTAAAAAGGCATGATCCCAAAAGTTTAGTGGTAAGGCCGAATGATGAAGCATTGCCAATCCGAATTCAACTATGTGCCTGTGTCGTCGTTCAACAGTGCCGTTTTGATAATGTGTATAAGGACAAGTGAGTCTGTGAAGAATGCCTTCTTGTTGGAAGAATGGTATTAAGGTGCGAAATTCACCTCCACCATCTGTTTGAACAGACTTGAGAGGCGTTTGGAATTGTTTCTCGGCCAGGTCTTTAAAATTCTGAAAGTTGGAGGACACGTCTGATTTTCTACGAAGAAGATAAATCCACACGTATTTGGTGCAAGCGTCAACACACGTTAAGAAATACAAATAACCACAACTAGATTCTAAAGATGCAGGTCCCCAAACATCTAGAAAAACAAGTTCAAGGGGTTTGGAGTAAATCGTAGTGGAAGGTTGAGAAGGAAGCCTGTGAGACTTTGCAATACAGCATGAGTCACAAAAATCAGAAATTTTATTGACAGTAGGAAGGCGAATATTACAAGTTTGTAGGGCTTTAGTTAGGGAATCATGATGAGGATGCCCTAACCGTAAGTGCCACTGTTTATAGGTATTGGAAACAACATGATTACATTTTTCAGAAAGGAAAATACAAGGGTCAGATTTAGGAAAAGCTAAATTCTGCTCAATATCAATATTGAAAGATGTCTTCTTCGCCAGATGCGGATGAAAGTGATAGAGATCATCTTCACCAAGTTTCCCTTCAAGAAGAGTCTCGTTCAAATCCTGTGATTTGACAAAACAGGAATGAGGATAGAAAACGAAGTAGACATTGTTGTCTTTGGCAAATTTTGAAACACTTATAAGATTTTTGGTCAAAGTGGGAACAAGTAAAAGGTCTTTGAGAGACAAAATTGTGGAAGGATGCATGGGGGACCGAAACATATTAGAACCTATTGAGGCAATAGATGTACCTTGGCCATTGGCCATAGCAATGTGCTCTGCGCCAGTGAATTGAGCACTTTGCAAGAGATACTGAGGGTCCAGAGTGGCATGGTGGGAAGCACCAGAATCTGGGATCCATGCAGTGACAGTGTTTAGAGTTGGGGCAGCATGTTGAGCAGGAGATGCAGATGCAGTACGCGGATGATGTGGTGGATTGGCGGTTGCTGCAGGATAGGTGAACCCAGGAGGTTGAAAACCAGAACGAGGAAAGGAGCCACCCAAGGAATCGGGGGACCACGAAGCTGGACCAGAATGTCCAAGCATATTAACAGTTCCATAGTAGGGAACAGTAGCAGGGCCAGGGTGTTGAGGCACATACCCATGTTGAGAATTGGGACCATAGGTGGGGTAAGGGGTAAACAATGAATGAAAAGGCAACCGAAAACCACCCAAGGATAGGCTATTGGAAAGCTGATAACACGTGGAGGCTTCATGTCCACGTTTGTGACAAATCTGGCATTGAACAGCAGACCCACGATTTCTTCCTCCACGAGATCCACGACCACGTCCTCCATGATTATTGAAGCCAGCTTGGGATTGAGGCGAAAAATTCTGAACAGAATTAGGCTGAGGGTTTGTCATCTGAGGCGGCTGGAAGGCCAAATTGACATTAGGGACACTAGTTGGAACAGAAGTGGCTTGAGCAAGATTGATGGACAGGGGTTCTTGGATAGCAGCAGCCTTTGCTTGGTCCAGTCTTGCTTCCTGAGCAAGAATCATGTTCTCAAGTTCGGCAGGGGAAAGATTATCATCACGGTAGACAAATGCGGTGACCGTGGAAATTAGAGAATCATATTCTGGTGGAAGACCACCAAGAATGCACTCAGCATGTTCACGAGGCAAAACAGGACTGCCAATGGAGGCAAGGGTCTCAACAATGATGCTGATGCGAAGGAGATAGTCAGAACACGATCTTGTTCCTTTCTTGATAGTGCGAAGCTCGAGTCGTAATTGCGTGGCTTTGATTTTGGTGAGTGACTGAAAATGCTGAAATACCAAATCCCAAATCTTGTACGAATGACGGCACGAGACAACACGAGCCTGAATGGATTCAGAAAGTGTTGCAAGAAGCCAAGAAAACAACAGCGAGTCTTTGCAGTCTCAGGCAGTATATTCGGGATTGACAGCATTGGCATCACGATCCTCAGCAGTAAGGAACTTCAGGGGAATTTTTGGATTGACGACAAAGCGTTCAAGATCATGTGCGCGAATGACAGCGGTAACTTGTTGCTGCCAGGTCATAAAATTCCTTTCATCCAGTTTGCATGTGACGGATTGGGAGAAAGTGTGGGAAACAGAACTATTGGACATTGCGGAAGCGGAGGCCATTGGAGCAAGATTGAAAGAGAGTCACAGAAGAACGCGCAAGACCAGTGCGAGCAGAAGCAGAAGAGCACACGAACGAAGAACCAAAACACGAAGAACAGAATCAGCGCGCGAAGAGCGCGAAGAACAGAGTCGCACAGAAGGGGCGCAAGAAGCAAGCCACACGAAGAGTAAACAATCAGATGAAGAAGCAGGATCTCAGGCGCGAAGAGCAGAATCGCGCAAAGAAGGGGCGCAAGAAGCAAGCCACACTAAGCAAACAATCAGATGAAAACCAGGATCGTGCTCACGATGATACCATATGAGAGAAAGAATTGAGAGAAGGAGAGATTGAAAAGATTGTATTATGATTAGAAAAAATAAGAAGCTAATATCTGTTAGATATCAGTTACATATATATAGAGCTAACAAACCTAACCAACTCATCTAACCAACTTGATGAGTTGTCAATATTAACAGAAAACAGAAAATATACAATATTAATACAAGAATAATAAAAGTATTTATTATTCTAGTCTCTTCTCTAATAACTCCAGGCCTATAGCCCTGACGGCTGACCGTTAGAGGGGGGGAGGGGTGGTTTGGAAAGCCTCCTTTATTGTGGTCACTACTAGACCAGAAAGGACTACCTATAGAGAAGCTGAACAAAAAGGCTAAGTTAAGCATTGTAGAGTGCAGCCATCGGGATGCACCTGTTAGGTGGTTTAGTCTCACATCAGCTAGAGATGTGACTTAAGTAGAGCTTATAAAGTTTGGCAATCCTCACCCTACAAGTCAATTTTGTGGAGTTGAGTTAGAAGAAGAATGAATGAATGAAGAAAAGATTTTGTCCCATGACATAAAGGTGAAAACAAAACTTTCATCATTATACAAAACTTATGATTTTAACTCTTAAGTATCATCATAGCAAAACAGTTTCTCTTTCCAATTGAAATCATGAGCAAAATTGAAAGAGGGTGATTCTTGAAACTAACATGTAGAAAATGCATGCATGGCCATAGAAATGTAAATTCTCACATTTAATTACAAAGTAAAAATGAATAAATAAATAAATGCCAATCAGAAAATTCTAGCTTCCAAGGGAAGTTATTATTTTGCAGAAGCTTACAAGTTGACTCTTCATCATCCTCATCGCACCATCTGTTCCAGTCAACCTTCAGGTATGGAGCAGGTTTCTCTTCAGACTTCAATAGCCTCTTCCACCAACCTTTTTCTCCTTTCTGAATTGAGCATATTATGTTTCTTAGGCCAGATTTAGTTTTACAACCCTACAGACAATAGTGACAAATTTATTCATAGGACCACCAAACCTTTTCAAAGTTTGATACGTAAAAAAAAATGAAAAACTATGTAACCTGCAACAGGCAAAGACCAAAATAGTTGGCAATCACATTCTATATAGTATTTTATTTTACCAAGACCTCTAATTTGAAGCATAATATTTGAGTAGTTTTCAAATTTTATTCAACTCCTATGGAACCTTAAGCAAGAACAATAATGTAAACATAAATATTGCATATATCACATATGTATCATATAGAAATAAATCCCCCACGATATCTGGTAGCAGATTTCTCTCTATGAACATGTCATGTTTCAGCGGATACTAAATAAACCACATGTACCATAAATTTACTTGAGAGCAATAGACTCGACAGTTGCAGCAATGGTGGTCAGAGCTATGGATATTAAACTTTTAAAAAATAAGTGGTAAGATAAATGAGCACCAATGCGAGAAAGCATATGATTAGAAGACACTAAACAGTGACAATGATTGATTTTGGCTGGAAGTATTGACCAAATTTTGGGTGATATTGGTTTATAGTGAAAATCATGACAGTGGACAAATGACAAAGCACTATGTCACTTTTCATAAAATAAAAAGTTTATCATGCTTGAGTTGTAAATAATTCCCCTTTCTCTGTGTAAAAAGGGATAAAGCTCGAGTTATTAGGCAGAGGCACAACAATAGTTTAGTACTCTAACTTCACTTAAAAATATTAACTGAAAAGTACAGTATATAATGTACGCATAAGTTGTAACATTAGTGCTGCAGAAATCTTCAAATCTTGTCAATGGCAAGGATTGACAGACCATAGTTTCATGCTAAATAAGAGTAGTAAACATATATATATATATATATACACACTAGGGTAGGGACTAGGGAGTATTCAGGATTTACATGCTTTCCATAATGCCCAGTATGTCAACAGTAAACTTTCATTGTAGACCATTTTAGCATAGAGAAATTGTAAAATTTGAGGCAGGGTAAGATAGTGGTGAAACCCTAAGGTTGGAGCAGTTTAAACAGAACAATACTAGAAAGAATCATCTTATCAAGTATTGTTTTTTGAATATAACAACAACTTCAAACCATCCAGATAAACACATAAGATGGCCATAAATCCCAAAGGGTATAAAGGACAAAAAGAAATGGAGAGATAAAATTCATAAGAAAGTTCCAAATAATTGTAATTAAAACAACATATAGCCAGCCCCAGATCCTTCAAACACTAGTCTATCACCGCTACAATCATCGTTACCCTTACACAACAGCAAAATGCGATCCCACACAAAGCACATGTTACAAGTTGTTAGTTAATTGTGATGGTTGAGTTTAGTTAGTCAGTTGGTTTACTTTAGTTAAGTTCTATTACACTCATTGAAATACATGTATTCCTTATTGTATCATCATCTTTTTCATGTTAATTAAAAAAATAGGAGAGGAGTTCCATAGAAGTAACTCAAGATACTCGAAAAACAGTGCTGCATTTGTCTAATGTCAAGAATATGGTGAAACAAAATCAAGTTCTCCCTCACCTCCGGTTGAATGGATCCATATAGTTCCAAGCTAAAGCTGTAGGATTCATCTTGAACCCCAGAAGCAGAGAAACTAAACAAACCCTGAGGCTCACACTTCACAGAAACATCCTTGGCATCAGGTAGAGCAACAGTAAGATAAACCTTATCAGAACGTTGTGCCCACAGAACTTCAGGATGGCGACTAATCTCCCACAAGAAAAAAAAAATCAGTGAGGTTATAAAACAAATTAGGTAAATTGCTCATAATATTAAACTCTTGCTAGTTACAGACAAATGGGTCGATTATATTCCAAAATCTCTAATGTTCTTCACGCTAAATGTGTGATTTTGATGTTGGAAACAAATTTGGCAAATGCTATAACATTACAGAGAAATGGGTGGTGATAAAATTAAGTTATCATACAAGTGATGAAGTTTAGTTTCTTCTTAACTGGTAAGTGAGACAGTGAAATGGGGAACATATTAAAACGAGAGATATAGCGAGAGAAGGAACCTCATTTGCCGAGTGGGATTGAGGAAGGCGAAAGCGAGAGTGTTCCGAAGAAGAGGGAATGTAGGTACGATGGTAATTGACAATTACCTGTTTGATCTCACTTTACTTTATTCCCAACCTAAGAATATTCTTTCTTTTGAAGCGGTGTTTTTCTTTTTCTTTTTTTTAATTATCCATTTTATCTTTACCTTCACACAAACTATTCGTATACATCGTCTCCAAACAGATTACTCGACTGCTATTGCATGTCTTATTATAAGCAAGTAAACAATGTAATATATATTTAATTTATTAAAATAATTATTCTTAAAAAAAATAAATATTTATGATTAAATTAATAAATTATCGTAAAGCACTAAAAACTTTTGGTACCAAAATCTCAAATAATTCATGTTGCATATACTTTTGGTGGGAAAAAGAAAAGATTTATATAACACGTGATAAGAGAAATATCTACATTTTTAGATGTTCAACCTTATGAGTGATCAATCTAGTTTAAAGGTAATAACAAAGAAAATGTCAGAGTTATAGGTAAAATCGGTAAAGATTTTGTACTTACTATAAATAATGTGTTATATGTTAAAGGATTCAGGTATAATATGTTTTATATAAGTAAATTTTGTGACAACAAATATATTGTATCTTTCGACAAAGATTCATGCATAGTTACACAAGAGGATGGATTTGTCCTTTTTATTGCTTATAAATTTACGTAAACAAAATATAATATATTTGGTTTCTAGAGAAGATGAAAGATAGATTTGGCACAAAAAGTTTGAGCACATAAATTTAAAACATATTTCTAAATTAAGGAAGAAAGGTTTAGTAAAAGGATTGTTTGAAATTTCTTGGAAAACATATCTTCTCTACGAAGCTTGCCAAAAGGGAAAATAAGTCAAAACCTCTTTTAAATCTAAAAATATTGTTTCCACATCTCGACCTCTAAAAAGATTACATATGGATCTGTTTAGTCCAACCAAAATTCTAAGTCTAGGAGGTAAACAGTGTGGATTTGTCATTGTAGATGACTATTCTACATATACATGAGTATATTTCTTAGCTCATAAGCATGAGTTTTTCAAGGTTTTTCAGATATTATGTAGATGAGTTCAAAAAGAAAAAGATTTTTTATAAATGTCATCAAAAATGTTCATGGAATCGAATTTGAAAATTCTGATTTTTAACAACTTTTTGAAAAGAATGGTATTTTTCACAATTTCTCTTCACCGAGAATACCTCAACAAAATAGGGTAATTGGAAAAAAAATTGCACTCTACAAGAAATGGCTAAAACTTTTCTTTGTGAAAACTCTTTACCAAAATACCTCCAGGCAGAAGTAGTAAACTCTGCTTGTTATGTTCAAAATTAAATATTAATAAGACCAATATTGAATAAGACTCCTTATGAATTGTGAAGGGGAAAAGATTCAACATATCATACTTCCATCCTTTTGGATTTGAATGTTATGTCCTAAACACTAAAGATCAACTTGGAAAGTTTGATTCCAAAGTGGATAAGGGCATTTTTCTTGGATATTCAAATACTTCAAAAACATATAGAGCCTTTAACTTTAGAACTTTATTGTTGAAAAACAATTCATGTTAAGTTTAACAATGTCTTAATGATTGATAAGAAATTATCATATCTAGAAGAGAAATCTGCAGACTAGCAGATTGAACCTAAGAAGACAAATGGGAGAAATACAAAGGACTAGAAGATCATTGAGACTGAAGGATAGAGGAATTAGTCAAACAATACATCCAGATCTCAGAAAGATTAGAAATTTGTAAACAATATCATCCACAAGATGAAATCCTTGAAGATAGGGCTAAAGGAGTTAGAATAAGATATTCCTTTAAAGACAACTTTTTATGCTCTAGTCTCAAATATAAAGCCAAAGATGATAGACGAAGCACTCAAAGACAATGATTGGATTCTAGCTATGGAAGAAGAACTCCATAAGTTTAAAAGAAATGACATTTGGACACTTGTTCCAAACCCTGAACATCAAAGTATTATAGGAAATAAATGGGTCTTCAAAAATAAGTTAGATGAACAAGGTAAAGTGGTAAGAAATAAAGCTAGATTAGTAGCTAAAGGCTATAATTAGCAATAAGGTATATGTTGAGATTCATGGGGTAATGAATCAACTCAGCCCTGGAGTCTGAGAGTTTTGATGATAACAAAGGATGGATTCTGAGAGTTTTGATGATAACAAAGGAGTTGAAGCTGACCAAGGAGTTGAATTCAAATTTTGGCGCCACCTTTGGACCTTAGAAGTTGGCGCCCCTCATTTGAATTCATAAGCCTATATATACTTAGTTCCTTCCATCATGTAATCTCTTTTGAACCTAGAGAAATCTGAATTAAATCTTCAGCCATTTTCTCTCCAAAAGTCACCCCAAATTCTAGGCTTAGCTTTAGGGATTCGAGTGCTCCTAAAGCATTTTGTGAGCCTTCCTTGGCATTCTTTTCTAGAGTGTTTCCGTCTAAAGGTTTGGATCCTCAAACCTTGTCTTCTTCTTCATTCCTTTTGTCCAAATTCAAGGTCTCAAGGAGGAGAGCTATTGCAGATTCAAGCAAGAGAGCTATTACTGTTCCATTGAATTTACTGTTCCATTTGTTCTCTTAGTTGCATGAGACTCAACAACACAAATTCTTCAATTGATATACTTGCTAGACCTACAGGGACTAATTACAAACACAAATACACAACATAACATGTAGTGGGACATAAAAACGCAAACACAAAATTGATACATAAAAACACTACACAAAAACACAGAAAGCACAATAGACACTCTAAGACTCTAAAACACTACTAACAAAAACAAAGAACACACAACCTTTGACAGGAACCAATGGTCCCCGACAACAATGCCAAATTTGATCGAACTCGTATCTGGTCAAATAAAACAAGTAAATGTAGTACTAGGAAGCTTTCCTAGGTCGTCTCCCAAGGACCATCCCTTCTTTGACAAAGGTTCAAACACGTAGTGGGGGGTTTGGACAGATTGAGCAAGGTTGAAAATGAAATAATAATGCAAAGTGAGATTGACTCCTTGTTAAGATTGCAACTCACTTATCCCGGTTCACAAGAGATTTCTCTACTTAATCCTTGTTCCATCCGAGTTAACCAACTAAGCGAATTAAGCAAATGTATACAACATTAAACCTCTCCATGGGATTAAGCAAACTGTGGCATTAAAGGCAACCCATTAAGCATGAAAGCATTAATACAGAAATTTAATAAAGAAGAATCAAGCAGAACAGAGATGCACAAAACGAATAGAACCTCAAACAGAGATTACAATTCACTCAAGGAGCCAACCCCAAGGGTTTTAGCCTTCCATTAAAACGAAAATGCAGAAACACCAAGAGAGAAAAAGAGAAGGAAAAATACAAATTTGTATTAACTTCAATATCCAAATGCAAGTTCAAGTAACAAAGAGCATAAAATGTGAAAAAAGAAAACAAAACAAAGAAAATGTGAAAGAAGAAGCAAAAAACGTTCCAAGGAAGAAGAAGAAGAAAACTCAAACGTAGTCACATCAATCTGAAGGGTGGTGGCTACACGGTCAGCCTCCCCTAGGTCCTAAAACCCTAGAAATGTAAATGGGCCCCCTACCCATGTGTCTGGCCCGAAATTACAAAAATGAGGTTAACAAAAATGTAAATAAGTTGCTGATATGGCGATATGGTGCTGACGTGGCGCTGATGTGGTACTTTATCTCTTGAAGTTCAAAAATAATATCCAAGCCCAAAAATGCTTCACAATTAACCTGAAAATAATTAATAGACAAAAATTAGACCAAGTGAATTGGAATTAATTAAAATTTGAATTATTGGCCCAATGAAGCACAAATCAACAATTAAAATAAGTATAAAAAGATAAATAAATAAATACGGGAAAATAATGACTCATCAAATGCCCTAAATCGGTACCCTATAATGAAATTAACATGATAAAGAATAATAGTTTGAATATCTTGTTCCCTTTTTGGTTATTTACATGTTACTTTTAAGTTAGAATTACATGTGAAGATGGGGGATTTAAACCCCTAAATGTTTAGAATAATATATCTACATAATTGATATTTGTTTATAATGATTATTATTTGAATAAAGTAGTAAAGAAAAGGGAAGGAATTTAATAAAAATACCTCCAAAACAAGTTTTACAGAATCCTTTCCAAATGTGGAACGCTCGTTTTGGTCATCAGAACAGGTCGTTCCAGGTTGGTTTGTTATGGCAAAAATTTGAATTCCCGTTCTAAACTGTTATTTTGTTCATAACAACCTAGGTCAAAATTGCTTGTTTCAGATTGGGAACGATCCATTTTGGCCTATGATTTTCAGACCTTTTTGGTGGTTTAGAATGAGTCGTTATAGATTGGAATGGCTCGTTTTGAGCTCCTAATTTGGCTTTTTTGATATTATGGGCCTTCTGATGCTATCCTGGTCCATTTTGATGTCATGTTGGGCCTTCAAAGACCTATTACCTTGTTTTAGTAGTCTTTTATCTTATTTTGATATCCCAGACAAAATTGGGTGTCTACAGTTCACACCACACATCAACTTTATAAATAAGGTTCATTATTGGGTTTGTTTGTTCTTAGGTTGGTTTTAGACTTCGGTAAAAAGTTTCATTAAGTAAAAAGGTTGGACTTAAATGAGTTTATATGCATGTAAATTAACGATATAGTTATAATGGATTTATCATATTAGTGTGCAAGTGTGATGGAAGAGCATGGGCTAAAGGCCCAACCACTAGAGCTATGGCCAGGAGGTTACTTGAAGATTTGACTGCTTCAGAGCTTAGTGGGCCCAATAGGCTTGGTGGGCCTAGGGTGCTTCTCACTTGGGCTTTGATTGATTGAACACCATGTTTAATTGTATTTTCTTAGTATAGGAATTTACTTTGATATTGGTCTTGTATTTTGACCATAGATTAGGGTTTAGGTGTCTTGGGCTTAATTTTGGGCTTCTTGGGCTTTGGGCTTTTGATACCCAATATTGGGCTCATTCTTCTTCTTGTAATTTTTCCTATTCATTGTATTCATTAGACCAATGTATTTCGGTCAATAGATTAGGTTTAAAGATAGAATACATTAATAGGAGAAATAGGTTTCATTTATGCATCATTTAG